CTATAATTTATTTTAATTTTTATAGAAAAAAAATAAGATTATATATATATATATATATGCTCAGCAAAAATATTTTTTTGCTCAGAGAAGTATATGTTCCACTCATCGACAAAAAAAATTAGAGGGAACATTGGCCTGGACACTTTTTAATTTTAATGTGTACCAAAATTATTTTATTATTTTACCGTATCATTAGTATTATTATTACTATCGTTATTTCTCGCGTTTAAAGCATTTAACGCAAGAGATTTAAAAAATGCGACGCCGTTTCTCGTTAGAGAAACCGAGTCTCTATAGATTTAACTTTTATACGACGTTAAAAAATTTTATTTCGTCATATTTATTTTCGGATATTTTCGCTTCCGATAACATTCTACGTCGATGCGAGCGAATAAGCTTCTTCGGACGCGAGCGAATAAGCTTTGCGGAAGGACATAAACAAGTCCGACAGGAAGATAGGTTAGTGTAGTGGCAGCGTTTTTAATTGTTTACGTTACAGACAATTTCCTGTTGCGCCGGTGTTTGTTACACTTGAAGTGTAATATAACTCTATCCGAAAATGAATACGAAGAAGTAAAAGTTTTATTTAACAACATAAAAGAGTTAAATCTATAGAGACTGGGTTTTCGCTAAATAGGAAACGACTTCACGTTTTTTAAATCTCTTTTATAAGTTTTAAACGCCAGGAATAACAATAGTAATAATAACGTAGGGTTACATTAAAATAAAATAATTTTTTTTACGCGTTAAAAAAAACCTGAAAGTGCGAAGCTGGAACCTACAGCTCCCACTTGGATATATGAATTACGAGAAACGAACCTTTTTCAAAGACTTGCGTAAATTGCATTAAGTAATCGCGACTATTATCCAAGTTACAAAATATAGACCTAATTGTTCTAACGAATTATTTACATTGTAAGTTTTTAATGAGGTACGATACGTCGGAAGTCGTCTTATTTTATTTGATCGGCCTTGGGAATGGTAGTAACCATCGATTTTAATAAAAAGAAAATATATCGATATAAACGGCCGATGAGGTCGACTGTCTTGTAACATAATACGAATACCATTTTCAGAATTTTACGTTATAAAATATTAGCGTAAGGAATCGAACCTGAAAAATAAGCGTTTGTTTTAAATTAATTATACGATTTAAAAAATGATAAATTTAAGAGAAATTTTCGTTTATGAATTTATTGTTATTCGATATAAAAATATTCTCTACTTATATAGGCTATTTGTAGCTTTACACGCGCCTAAAAGTAGTCCGTAGACGTTTTAATCTAATAGAAGGCAATTATTTCCAATACGGATATTTTCTGTATTACTGTTATATGACTCCCGCAATTACCTTTCTTTCTACAATGTTATCGGAGATAAAACGTCGAGGTGGAACTAAACAAATATTAAATGTCTTTTCTTTTTCTTTCTCCTCGCGCCACTCTATAAAAACATATTCATCGATAAAAATAAATCGGTAGACGCTAGAGATGGTAAAACGCACTATTATCCAATTAAATTCGTCGTTACGTATTTTTTCTACGGTAAATCTGTAGCTTAGACTCCAAGGTTTTTATATCCACCCACAGGCCTAAACGTAGTTTCTTGATCGTTGGCGTAAGTTATGCCCGAACTCGGGCTTAAAATACGGGCGAGAAAACCAGTCGATCTGGTAAAAAATTCTTTTATATATCCTTAAAAACAGGAGGAAGGGGGAAGTGAAAGTTAGGAACGAGGGTCGATATCTTAAGTGTGGCACGGGTATTACGCTACCCGCATCGTACTTAAGGCGTAAGAATTTGCCGCCGGGCAGGACGATACGCTCTTTCTATCCGCAATTAGATGTGGCCGGTCTGTATGGCATCCAATTGTTACTTACAGTCAGTTTTATTGCGTCGACAAACGATGATTAATAGTAAGACGAAGGCGTGGGGTAGAAGCCGGGTGGCATTTCCGGTCCGAATCTCCATCGCCCTGAAGAAATCGTAGAAGGCGTTCTTCCTTACGGACTGCCGCTTCCGTCGGTTGGTTTATTTTATTACGGTCTTCGTCGGAAAGCCAAGGTCAGCCCAAGTCTCCTTCCTCGTTTCTCGGTTAGAAATCTGTCGTTTATTACTGCGTGCAATTTTAAGCCCAAGTTCTAGTGGCCCGGCCAATAAATCGAATGGTTTTATACCGCTTAAACATAACTTTTTATTTGTAAAAAGTGGCATTTTGTTTTCCGGTCGAGTTTCATTTTATTCGTTTATTGTTTCTTACCCGGTAGGAGTTTCTGCTTATCCGTTTTTAATTTGTACGATTAGCTCTGATCGGCAGAGTAACGATAATACCAATGCGCGTACGACGATTAATTTTGCAATGCGTTACCGGTCTTCCAAGGCACCGCCACCGGTCGAACGTACGGTATCGTAGGTAGGCAGATAGGTTTGGTGTTTACATTGGTTGCTGGTGCGTCAGGTAAAGAAAGGGGGACCGAATCTGTAATTCGGCGCTTACGCCGCCGTCACTCTTTCATACTGTACGATTTCTGTTTGGTGGCAAGTTTCTGCTATTAAATTCGTTTGGCCGCGAATTTATTAGCAGAAGAGTAGGATCCGCGCAGAAAAAAAATGTAAACTCTTCGACCATCTTTAATTGTGTATAAATTGAATAAATTTGTTTCAAAACGTTTAAGACTGGTAGTTTGTTTATTTATTTGCAGTTTTACATTAGGAAAGACGATAGTTTGACGAAACACCGGTGAAAAACCCGCGGTCGTTTCGCTAGAAAACATTTCAAATAACCAACTTTCTTTTGTTTTGTTTAAGGCCGAGTCGAAGGGAAATTTCCCGCTGGATTCGGAGAATCTTCTGTCGAGTGACGGATGGAAATCTTACCACCACGCTCCCGGCTGGTTTACCTAGCCAATTTAAAGGAAGAGACTTTAATTGCCTTTTTTCCGACTCGCAGTCCACCGCCCTTCCCCTCCCCCGAGGGACCGGCGGGTGACCCCGGGGGAGGTCACCGGGCAAAAGGGAGAAGAATTCGACCCGCTTTACCTTTTTCTCGGCCTCTCCCGCCTTCGCTCAGATTAGCGCACGCCTGGTATTTCTTAACCGTGCAAGATGTATTAAAAAGTGAGTCGTCCGAAAGAAAATGGACTCCGCACTCGTATCCGGCGCCGATTCTTTACCCGTCGGATAATGCCGAAATAGCCCGGTTATTCGAGAGATGGATTAAAATTTGCGTCCGTCGGACGGGAAAAGGATTTAACGGACGACTAGACGTACAGTACTTTCATTAGGAATTTCCCCGCGCGCGTAAATAGGTATTTAGGTCGAAATTTTCGTCGGATCCGTTTTCCTTTTCCCGATAATCTATATTTACTATTCGACCGCGCGGACGCTTCCCGGTGAAAATATATACGACTGGAGGGGTTAAAGGTCGACGGCCAATAACTCTTTAGTAAAATTAACCGTTAAGAAAGGCGGAAAAAATTTCTAAACGGCAGAGGAGGTTAAATCGCAATTCCGTTTTCGTTAAATAAAGTCATTTTCGCTTAATCCCGCGGGCTACTTTATCGCTTTCGATAACGCCGACATCGTTTTCTACTTCTCGGGTAAAGTTCGGCCGTCCTGGAATTGCCAGAGACGACTCTCCACCGGCCGAAAACCCTGCCCTCCCCGTCGTCTCGGCCACTTCGTAACTAATCGCCCGGCGCTCCGATCTTTACAATTTTCGACTCTCTCCGACGAAAATACGGATAAAAACGTTAATTATTTGGGCCGGTGTTTTCTAAGAAACCGTAAACCTTTGGTAATTTTCTCCGTCCGTCGGACCGAGTAGGCTTTCGCTTTCGTTATCACCACCGAATCGACCTTGGCGACACTTTCGAGGTAAACTCGTCCGGAAAATCGGTCTGCCTTACTCCGCGGTGTTTGTAAATATTGCGTCACCCAACCCGTCACCCAACCCTTTCATCGCCTCTTAACGTAGGGAACGAAAGTCGCTGTGGGAAACAATTACCAATTATTTAACCCGTTACTCTGTTCTTAAGTGTAATTACGCCAGTCTGATATAAAAAATCATTCCGTCGTCGTTCGGCTACGAATACAGCCTAAACTTTTAACAAAAACGTATGGTTTAGGTTCCGGCCCCGGAGATCGGACGTCGAGTTATAAAAGTCCAGACCGTATTCCGTCCAGGAAAAGGGGGAAAAGGCAATAAAAGACTTCTTCCGCGGACCTGGAGTCTGCCTTTACCACACCGACGGAAAAAACTCTCGTTTACATACAGTACGTGAGAAAAAATAGACGGCTCCGACGGCCCGGTCGTCCGAAATACCTAATAATTTCGTCGGAATATTTTGCTTTTGTTAAATTTCTACCGTATTCCGTAGTGTCGTTTTTCCCGGAAATCGGGCTCGGCCACATACCTTAATTTACGTAATAATTGTACCGTAGGCGTACCGCTTATATTTTTATATATGCGAACCGTCGGACTAGTACTGTACAGTACATTACGATATTTAATACGAATGGAAGAGGATAAAAATTTTACAATTTCTAGAAAAGCTACAAAATTTAATGCCCGAGGAACAAACGGCGATAAAAGAAAAGAATAGACTTTCTCGGGCTGGATGCCATCGTTTCGAAATCTTTTCGGGCGGGCGGCCAATCCCCCTTCTTTCCCACTCGCATTTACGTCGTAACTTAGGTCCGACCCAACAGGGTAATCCGGCGAGGATGACATCATCCGGCGCGGAGGTTCGACGAGAAACGGTGGGCGCGTCACCCATTCGACCACGTGGCACCCCGCGTTGGTCCCGCAGTATAAATTACTTTCACCGGCACACGAGACGCGCAATCTTTTGTTGCCCGTTTCTATGTCGTTACGAGTTTGACGGCATTTCTCGCTGGCCGGCCTCTCGTCTCGTCTGCCGTCTTCTCAGGTAATATCCTATTTATATATTTTAATTTATTCCTAAATTGTAATTTTTCGTTTACCTTCGATTAAACCAGATAATTTTATCGATGTACGCGTGGTTAATTTTCAAATAATTAAGATAGTATTTTTTTGTTTAAGATGCGCCCGGAACCGCCGGCTTTCCGTATCACGACGATAATATCCCACAGTTTTTAGTCAAACGCGTTCGAATACAGGTCGACAGCAAATTTCACTGGCGCAATTTTAAATGGGAAGTGAGAGTGTTTTGTAACCCGTAGGGAAATTCCCTGCCGCGATTTCGTACGCCTTCGGAAACGAACTAGAACGGAGTAAACTTGACACGATTTTCGTCGGCTCGGCATTAATTCTCGGAGGCGACGGGGCCCGGGAATGCGGGAATTACGCTTTTGCCAATTTATATTTTTCTTCTTCGTCACGAGTCACCGTCGTTTCCCAGGCTCAAGGACGACGACCAAGGCGGGAAACTACTGGTTATTGTTGCGCTCGGTAGGCAAAACGCCCTTTGCCACACGAAACGGAAACACTGGTTTGGGTCATGGTGCCATCACGAAACGTGAAGGGCGGTTCGAACCGTGGTTGCCTTTATATCGGACCTTTCCGACCAACTCTGTCTTGCTTTTATCCCACCGGTAAAGTATTTTGCTGAATTTTTATCGCAATTTGCCGTAAACTTCCAACGCTTCCGGTCAAATTTTTAGTAATCGGCGAAAAATACCGCCTCGACTTATCAAAATTTATAAAAGGTAAAGTTATTTTTTGCCCGAGTCTACCGGAAAAGGAAAGAAAAATATTTGCAAATCACGTTTTTCTCTATTATTATTAAAGACGCAAATTTGAACTTTTAATGATAAAATTTAAAGTTTCCTTTTATTTTTCCTTTAAGGAATTTTTGCTTACCGCTCGACAAACAAACGGCGATAAAAATTCTTTTCGTTGGTAATATTTTATAAGAATTTCTCCTGGTGGCAAATATATTTCTATTTATTTTTAAAAAATATTTAAAAATGCCAGGGTAGAGATAAGGCCCGAGGTGGAAGAATTCGGTCGACGGGTGAAGGTGGTGACGTTTCCGACCGGAAGGAAAACAGATTTTATTAAACGAAAGAATATAATTGCTATAGAAGACAGCGGTAAAATTTTAGGAAGAAATCGGCCTGTGGGGTGCGTTTATATTAGAAAGGCGAGGATTTAAAAAGACGGAGGAAGTTTTTCCGGTGTGAAAAACAACAGTCGGAGGATCCGACGCCGTTTCCCGTCGATGCGCTGGATAAACAAGTTTACAATGTGCGGCAGATGTCGTTGCCGGGAAAACAGTCGCACTCTATTAGACAAACAAACGCGGACAAAACCAATGTTACGATACGGTGGAAAGGTGGAAGTGGGGATAAAGACGGAGAGACGACGGGCCACAATCGTCGGCCTGTTTATTTTCCGCGGTATTGTCCGCTACCGGACGTCGATTATGGCGCCGACCTGGTGGGAAGAGGGCGAGACTGGACGACATCTGCTGGCGGAACGCGTATTCCTATATTCCGGGAGCCGGCATCTGCCTTTAGGGACGCTGTTTTTATTGCTACTTTTTCTTCGCCTACTTTTCATTCTTTTAAGGCCGCTTCCGGTAGAAACGCGGCTCTCCGCTTCGCCCGGGCTTTGTTTAAACTCTTATAATAGCCCGCGCAGGAAATCTTTATTGGCCAAACCTCCGCCATCGATTGTCGTCGTCGGTCGACGCTAGAATGCCACCGGACCCGTCGCTCCCAAGATTAAGTCTTTCTTCCCTTTTTATGGCAATTTAATCGTTTTCTTTCCTTTTGTAGATTTTTAACGCGGTGGCAAGATGAATAAATTGTTTATCGGCGGCCTTCTTTTCGTCTTTACCCAGGTATTTATGAATTAAATAGTACAAATGAATGACGTTTCTGGCCTCTAAATACTTATTATTTATATTTACAGTTTTGCCTATGCCTTCCGTTCGGGAGCATCGGAGAGTGTAATAGTTCTTCCGACTGTAGTTTCGGACACTGCTGCGTTTTGGGTAAGAATTAGGTCCTGCTCCCGTAGGTTAAGCCAAGGCTTTTGGTTACAAACGATTAAGTTTATTTTTTCCCCCTCGGAAGGTATGATGCGTTACGGCGTACCTCGGTGTCGGGCTCTGGGAAGAATCGGACAACTTTGCAGAATGAACAACGAGCCGCAAAACACAACTTTGTATTATCCCAACGGCGTCTTTGTCGACGTGACGGACGTTTATACTCTCACCTGTCCGTGCGACATCGGTTTGGCCTGTAAGCACAACGTCTGCGCGGCGGAAGACACTTACGACGATAATTACCTGTATTAAATGTTTTTAATCGGCGGAGGAGACGGACGACGAGAATTACCGATCGATACGACGGTAATCCCGGGTTTAAAATTTATTTTTGTTAGATTAAGAAAAAACTAGGTTTAATGGCTGTTGGAAAAAATATATATAAATATATATTATATATTCTATATCGAGTCGAGACGGGTCTGCGTACAATAGTTATCGTCGGAAATATTTTCTCAAAACCGTCGTTGAGTATTACGCAATTTTTGACCAGTAGTGACGTAGTTGCTTCCCATTCTGCTGACGTGACGTCCCGTCCGACGCTACGCCCTCCGGTGGAGTGGGAAAGGAGTTTGTGTATCGAACGGATCTTCGGTCCCGTCCGCGTTACGTACTATATTATTCTTATCGAATGCGAACACGTACGACCGAATCGTATTTGTTCGCGCTTTTTAATCACCGTAGATGGAAATGAATTTTTTCTTACCAAATGCGAAATCTTGTTACGGACGGAACACGTGTATATAACTTTACAGAAAGTAGTAAATCTATTAAAATGTTAATATCGATTTTTTAAAGACATTTTGTACTGTTCTCCACAAGTTTTTCAATAAAAATGTTTTACAAATTTTATCGCAGACATTTTACCAACGGGGGGAAATTGGCTTTTAACTGGCCTTGGTCGTTTCGCCACAAAAACATCGGGAAAATGGCCAGTCGTCGTTTTAAACGGGGGCGCTATCTTCCTCGTTAGGAGTGGCCATTTCGATAAAACGAATAACGAGACGGTCGGGCGATTGGCCTACGCGGCCGGAAACCGGAGTCTTGTTACGCGCCGCGTGGTAATATTTTGTGCATTTATTAAAGTTTTACCAGAGTTTGTTTCATTTACGTATTAATTTGATTACGTCTTACACTCGTCGTTTTTAACTTCGCGCCTACATTCCGTTTTCTACCGTTAAATGTTAACGTGACGAGAAGAACCGCCCTCCGATTAATTTTTTAAAATTACGGCCAGTCGAATTTGTCTTTTTGGGGAATTTTATTTAGGAAATTTTACTCGAGAATCCGTAAAAGATAAAAGAGAATAGGACGAAACAAAGAATTCCGAACGGGGAAAATAAATACGCGTAATTTTTCCTGTGACGCGCGTTACTTCCCACCACTTTCCATTCCGTTCCGAATTATTTACGCCTGATTTCGTTCGTCCCACAAAATTTATTTAAATTAGTAATAATCTACGGCGGAAATAATTAGCGATTTGACACCTTGCGCGCGTCGATTTGACTAATTATAGCCTTGACTGGAATATAAGACGCGCCTTAATTTCTACCTCGTCGTCCGTCGCATTTTTTTAACAACTACGGTTAAATTTACGTGGACGCAAGCGTTCGGTCCCCCTCTTTCGCGGTGAGTAAATGGGAAATCCTCTCCTCCCTTCCTTAGGCTCTTCCCCATAGACGCTAACGCTATTTTAGCCGCCTTCCCCAGTCTTGCTTTTAGTTTTAGTGGCCAATTAAAGACCCGTTACCTGGAAACTGACGCGCCACTGTCGGAGACGCTAAAATACGAAAAAACGCCTCTACGTTGGAGTAAATGCGGCCTACTCTATAACTAGAGTCTTACTTTTACTACGTAATAATGGAAATAAGCGCAAATATTTATACGGAAAATGCCCGTAACGTTTCCTAGCGTATTTTCATACTTGGGCTCGATATAAATATTCTCGGGAAAATATTTAAAATGACAAAGAAATAAAGCTACGTGGACCAAACATGAAAATCCGGCAACGAGTTGCTTAACTTTCCCGGCCAGATCTATTACAATATTTTACCGTAAAATCTTTTTATATTTTTAACTATTATAAAATGACAAAAAACTTAATCTTAGGGTAGGGACGGGTTTCGTAACAAATTGTAAATGCTTATAATTAGTAAAATCTTCATTAAGTTCGACCCTACTCGAGATACGATACTCTTTTATCTCCCCACCCCTCGACCTTTAATCGCTAAAATTTAATGGCATCGATCCCTCTAATAAACAAACCTTCCTGCAAAAGTTCAGAAATTTTCGACAAAAAGCACGTGAGTTATTAAGCTTCAAACGAGGTGAACAAAATCGTGCCTCACATACGTGCTAACATCCATACATACAGAAAAAAACATTTTTTTTTTTCTTTGCATTTCTCAACGTTTCGAGGACCACGAGTCCAAAAGTGTAAAAATCTTGAGAGAGAGGTCGTTTTTTGACTCATGGCCATATTTTTCCTATGTTATATATAACAGCCGGGAAAGAAAAAATATTTTTAAATTCCGAACTTAATTTAGTTCTTTGTGGAGTTATTTAATAACCGAAGTTTTCAAAGGGCAAACAAAAGATTGATATACATATTATTAAATATTAGATTTATTTATGTCGTTATCGTTTTATTTATCGCAGATTTACTTTTATCTTTTGAAATTTACAGAATCTAAAAACTTCAAATATTATTTTATACAATAAACATCCAACGTAACTTAACGTTACGCTACAAAAGTCCGCAACGGGAACGAATTAAGGGAGGCGATCGTCTCCGTCGTCCCCTAAAATTTTTACCGCTAACACCTGCTTTATTTTTTCCTCAATTCTCGAATTTATTTTTCACGTTATTACTTTTCCGATTATGTTATATACAACAGAGGGAAAGTGTGGCCATCGGTCAAAAAATGATTTCCCAATATTTTTACAATTTTGGACTTAAGACACCTCGAAACGTCGAGAAATACAAAAAGAAATCGGAGTAATTTCTGTATATTAGTGTGTGGGGGCACGATTTTGTTCATCCTGTTAGAAGCTTAATAACTCCCGTGCTTTTTGTTGAAAATTTCTGAAATTTTGCAGGATAGTTTGTTTATTAGAGGGCGATGCCATTAAATTTTAACGATTAAAGGTCGAAGGGATGGTGAGATAAAGGAGTATCGTATCTCAAGTAGGGTCGAACTTAATGACGATTTACTAATTATTAGCATTTACAATTTGTTACAAAACCCATCCCTACCCTCAAGTTTAAGTATTTTTACTATTAGTTAAAAATATAAAAAATTTTAAAAATAAAATACGATAACAGATGGCGCCACCAAAATTTTAATGTGGGGGGAAAGTCAAACAATTCGTTGCCGGTTTATTTTCTTTACAGACAAAAGTTTTGAAACAATGTCTAGATATAAAAACGATGTAATTGTTTATGATTGCCTAAATAGTAATTTCGACTTTCTAATCACTAAATTGGTGTTATCGGTTATTTTATGAATTCCGATAAATTTTTGTTATAAGCTTAACGTAACACATTATAAATTTCGAAATTTTGCTTGGCCAAACATACGACTGGTAATAAAGAATAATAAAGGGTTTCTACCAAAGTTATTTAATTTAAAAGGCATTTACGATAACGTCTTTCGTTATTGATCTGGACGACGACGAGTAAAGGATCAATGGTTAAAATTGAGGTGGCCGAATAATTTTTATATCGGTGCCGGTTCTTCTCCCAATAATTCGACCCAATTTATATTATTTTATCGATTAATTTGCAGAAGAAACAAGAAAAACGTTTTAGTGAAAAAAATTTTTGATCGATATATAGACGGCGTCCCGTGTAAAATCGGTCCCACTGGACGAAAACCAATTTAGGCCAAGAACACCGGTTTCCTTACTTTAACGTTATTTCGGCGTGCAGCAGTGGCGTGCCGTCATTGAAAGCGGTGGATGCGCCGCTTTCCTTGTATTTTCTAAAAAATAAATACATATTAATTTTCATTATATGAAAATAATCGCACAATATTTTATTATAACCGCATTATGTATCTTATTACAAATTTCTATACTACACGTGGAAAAAAAAATTGCTATTGTATATTAGAATATTAGTGGCGGAGTGGAATCTCCTGTATTTTCAGATTACGAAAAGCCAGATTTGCGCATGCGCTTTACAGAGCACCAACCTCACCCGGTTTAGCCGGTGGAAGCCTACGACCTTGGGTGAAAGCTGCACACATATAAAGATTCCAATTCTATCAAGGACCGGTTCTGGGCTGTTAGCCGCCTGCCCACTAGATATTTCGATTACGTGAATAACGAGTAGATTTATAACTTAACCCAACCGATAAGAATTTACTGGTATGTTTTTACGATAGTTCTGTATAGTTGACAGGAGTTTAAAAAATCCATTAAAATATTTGATATATTTATTCCGCTCTCCGATTTTATATTACTCACGGATTTCGATGTTAAACCAGTGATATTACGATTTCGTACATCCCATCTTTAAGGGGATGTAGAAAAAAACGTGTACAATTCTTGTATAATGTTAAAAAATTAACTGTTACTTTGACAGCATCATTTACAACTAAATTTAATGAATGAGAGAGATGCACGAGGTACAGAAAAAGCTCTAGAATTTATTTTCCTTAAATTTACGATTTATGTATCCGTTTGTCATAAAAATTTGTCTTTCCACTTTTTTCCCGAGACTACAAATATTCGAGTACAAAGTAACTGGTTTCGACTTATTTCTACTTAAGAAGTAGTTAAATAATTAAGCGATTAGGGAATTGGGGACATAAACAAAACCCTGATGAAAGAGCCGGAATATTACTTAAACAAAAGCTTAACCGAACCAATCTATAGCCGAGTACAGTGGGGATTGATTTCTTCGAAATACTGTATTAAATGTAATAAAGACAGAAATTTTTCCAGTTCAACGAGAGTGACCGAAAAGTTGTAAATTTTGGAAATTTCCGTGGAGGACACCTGGTCCTAAAACGAATTAGTTAGAAAACAAATGACTATTAAGTTTAACATATTTAGATTTTTACAGCTATGGTGAGAAACGTTTAAAATCTACAACAGCCCTGTCGCGTCCTTTGAGATATACTAGTGATGCGACAAAAGAGGTATTTGACATTGACCGGTATCGGCACCCTGGGGATTTGGCAGTCCGCGTGTATGCACGCTCTGCAACCGTCTTCGATTCCATCCATTAGCCACTCGTAGGGAGCTATTTGACTAAGTGCATTGTTTTAAGATTTAAAAAGTAAAGAATATTTTATATTTTTATGTACGTTTCTTTACAAAGCTATATTTAATTATAATTTTCTTTAAAAGTATATTCATATAATTGAAGAATATTTTGTATGTACCGGTACATCCACCACATATTTTATTTCACCGAGTAAGTTTTTATTATTTTATTTTTAATTGTAGCCCTTATATCGTGGCTAGCGATTCGGAATGTAATTGTGATATTAAAAATACATTTAGAAAAGTCTACGGTTTTTACTGGCTTATCGAATAAACGATACGAATGGACCCTAAACCATCACTGACGAGCAATTGACTGATTGCCTCTGTATGTCGGCTTCTTACGGAAATACAGCTTCCCTATCATCAAATGTCACGGCACGCCACTGGCGTGCAGAAACATACGGAAGACGCCAAAAGCTGTGTCTTCGTGCATTATGTACCGTACCTTTGCCTAAGCGTGAGTGATCTTACGTAAAATACCGACGTCGATAGCTTGCATGCTTCCGAGAAGGATTTCCTTCGGTTTGCGTCTAGTTTTGGGATTGGCCCGATAAACTTTTCTTTATAAACATCCTACGGGTAAGCTAGCCGACGGGTAAGCTAGTTGAAAATAAAAATTTCTTTCTTGAATTATCGTAAACTTTTCGGTAGATTTGGTGCTTCAATCGGTAGATCGGACCCAAAATCGGTAGATTCAACCGAAAATTCGGTAGACGTGGCAACATTACCCCTTGAACAATTTCCTCTATTCTCGACGCCAATGCGCCCCCACTGTGGCTCACCAGAAACTTCCGTCCACTATTGGCTAGTCTGTCCGCAATATACACGGGCCCACCAAGAGGTAGGCCGTCTCTTAACCTTGGACCTTACGATCGTCCGAACCTTGGGGGGAAAGTCAAACAATTCGTTGCCGGTTTATTTTCTTTACAGACNGGAAGCCTAGAACCTCGAGTGGATACTACACGTATACCGCATCCAATTCTATCCGGGACCGGTTCTGGGCTAGCCGCCGCCCGCCAGATATTTGGCCGCCCTCGCCCGATTACGTGAATCGCGAGTAGATTTATAACTTAACCCAACCAGTAAGAATTTACTGGTATGTTTTTACGATAATTCTGTATAGTTGACAGGAGTTTTAAAAAATCCATTAAAATATTTGATATTCTTATTCCGCTCCGATTTTATATTACTCACGGATTTCAATTATAAACCAGTGATATTACGATTTCGTATATCTCATCTCTAAGGGGATGTAGAAAAAAAGTGTACAATTCTTGTATAATGTTAAAAAAAAATAACTGTTACTTTGACAGCATCAATTACAACTAAATTTAATGAATGAGAGAGATGCACGAGATACAGAAAAAGCTCTAGAATTTATTTTCCTTAAATTTACGATTTATGTATCCGTTTGTCATAAAAATTTGTCTTTCCACTTTTTTCCCGAGACTACAAATATTCGAGTACAAAGTAACTGGTTTCGACTTATTTCTACTTAAGAAGTAGTTAAATAATTAAGCGATTAGGGAATTGGGGACATAAACAAAACCCTGACGAAAGAGCCGGAATATTACTTAAACAAAAGCTTAACCGAACCAATCTATAGCCGAGTACAGTGGGGACTGATTTCTTCGAAATACTGTATTAGATGTAATAAAGACA